AGAGCTGATCCGAGATTCTTTTCTTCGAAAGTTGCTCCTTCCCCAGGAAGGAATTTGCTCCTCTAAGGAAAAGCAAAGCGAGGTTGCCCCCTTCCTTTCGCTCCATCTGGCATGTCTTTTCCCCATCACAAACCCGTTCATCCCCAGGTACAGGAACCTCTAACAAGCCTGGTACTGCTTTACTTGGCCCACTCGTTGGATGTACTTAGAAAAGACCGCTTTTGCACGCTTTTTGCTTTGTTATTTATAGTGATTCTGTAAATTACATGCAGAGGGTTTTTTCTTCCCTGGTCTGTACCAAGAAATGGGTCTCTGATGATTGCTCAAGGGTGGAAAACACATATCCATTCATCTGCGGCAGTCTGCGACTTGCCTAGGGTGTTTCTTTGATGTGATCATGGAGACAGAGAAAGGCTGGGTCTTCCCTGGTGCTTTCACTTGTGTTCAGGTCCCATTAATCTGCTTTTAGCTGCAGCCATAATAGTGGTACCCTTGCCACCTCTTTCCCAGCCTTTATTCCTCTTTGAACTGGAAGAAGCTGTGCTGGCCCCTGCCAGCTGCAGTTCTCTCCTCCTCCCTCGGCTTGCTGCAAATTAACAATTTACAAAAGTGGCTGCTTAAAGGGTAAGTGATCAGGCACACGCTCCAGCTCTTACGCAGAGCGCTGACCACACGTCAGGGCTTCACTTTTAAAAGAGGCTAATTCTTCACAAACTGCAGAAATTAATCCAAGTTCAGATTCCTTCAGAGTCCCCGGTGAGACACTGAATCCCCAGATACACGTGTGCAGACATGCACTCTGCATTCAGTTCTGACACATGGAAAAGGTTCTCTCCTGTGCATGCTTCCACTCGGGGACTATTGCTGGGTCACTGAATGGAGGGGAACAGACACATTGCTGTTTGAGGAAGAACCCCCTGTAACTACAGCAATCCAGGGCCATTTTGGTTTAGAAGAACAAGACCGTAACCCTTTCCAGTGTTCACTTGTATTGACACAATGTGCCAAATTCAGAGTGAAATTAAAGACTGTGAGAGGAGGATTGAGTTGAGTGGAAGTTGTTTGCTCATGGAAGGAGTCTTAACACGTGCGTTAGAGGGGCTGGAATTATCTTAAAGCACTGATCAGCGCATTCAACTTACTCCTCTGTTAGAAAGTAAAGCCAGTAGAAGTTTTCTGCTCCCCCAGCTTTAACGTGCAGCATTTAGAAACCATTTCACAAAGTTAAACATTTATTAGGAACAAGAACTATTACAAAAAGATACCCAGAGTCTAGATATATACATGAGGTTTAAACATAGCATTTTCACGTACCTTTAGCTATAAAAATACATTAGATTAACTGTCTCCTAATTTATAAATATAGTTCTTTTTTAATAAAAAAACCCAAACCTAGTATTTCATATGAAAGCCTTAGTGTGCAATGGAAGAATATATACCCTCTAAGGGGTTATCTTAAAGTTAGTGTCTAGTGTTATATAACTTAGAAAATTCAGTGTGTAGAGTCAAACCCTGATTTATACAATAAGAGATACATTGACTTTTTAAAAACTTGATAAGAAAAGAAGAGGTGAAATATATATCATACATATAAAGCCAGAATACTAGGAACTTTAGAACTTCAGCTGATTTTGGTTTCAACCACTGTTCATCAAAAATGCAGAGATAGAGCAAGATAACCAGCCTTTTACTGTTTGCCTTCCCTCCCTCCTGACTGCAGCCCTAGAAAACCATCCAGCAGGCAAAAGTAAAATGTTTGTCTGAGAAGCTGTTTGCACTCTAAAAGTGTTTTACAAAAAATAGAAACTTATTTACAATGTTCCCATTGGCCTTTCATGGGGAAGGGAGGACATTTCCTTCACTGGATGGGGAGATTTACCTGTCTCACAAGCCCATGTTATGCACAGCTGCGGGAGGTATGTCATTTAAGAAGTTAAGCAGGGTTGAAGTGCAATTTCATTGTTCACTAATAAGGAAGTTTAGGCTCATGCAAACTTTTTCCTTACTTATCACCACCCACCTTCCTTCCACTTCCAAAAAACAGGTCCACTCATGTGGCAGAACTTGTTACTGACTGGGTATATCTGTGAGCTAAGGAAGGTACTGGTTAAATCCTTGCTTGCATCAGAGGAGAGAGGTTAGACCTGCATTTCTGCTTCAAGCACTGACATCTGGAACACTCCAGGCAGGAATCTTTAGCAGTGCTCCATGGAGAGCTGTTGGTGGCTACAAGGAACCTCTGTTGGTTTGCTCTCTGAAGACAATCCCAGTGAGATCAGCTAAACTTCCTAACAAGCTGAAACCACTAATTCCTGCATACTCACAGTTCCTGCAGATGTGAAACTTCCCATACACTTGCCAGTGGTTCTCCAGTACAGAATCGGCAGGAGGAGGAGGGACAGTAGTGAGCCCAGGAACTGGTGGCTTGTCATTAATCTCATAGTAACGTCTGGGCATGCAAAGAAGTTACTGCAGGAGGTACTAAGACATGAACTTGGTGTGATAGCCACTGCATGGATGCTATGCATGTACAAACATGCTTACACAATTCAAGGCAGTTTAGTTCTTGGTGAAGGACCAGCTACTCTGTGCTTGCCACAGGAGAGAGCACTCACAGGGACAATTACTGCAAAGCTGCTGACACATTTAAGTCCAGCCATAGCTTATTCCATAGTAACTGGTTTGTACACCCACATCTTTAGCACTCAGTGAGTGCTTGGGAGCACCTGCCTTTTTTTTCATACTGTACGTACAGAAATGTATTTTAAGCTACAATCATATGGGATAAAGAAGCAGTGAGAAGAGCTTTTAAGTTTTACTCTCATCATAACAACTCTGGCTCAAAAAATGAAGAGATGTTCATCAAGCCTGAAAGTTACAGAGAAAGAGAGAGAAGGACAGATTCTTGCAGCTCTTCTGCTCCCTCCCCCAAATCAGAAGGACTGGTGTGGGATATTTTCTGTGGGATATCTACCATGCTACATGCTTAGCATTCAACTTGGTGTCATCATGGTAAGTACAGTGCAAAATCCTCTTGCAAAAAGTGCTATATTGAAGGTTTGAGATACAATTGTGACTCATTTGGAGCCAGAAGGGTTAGAAAGTCAGTACCTTGCATTTGCAGCATGTGTCATGTGTGCACACCAAAACATCAGGTTCCAAGGGCACTTCAAAGTCTAGCTCTGTTGGGTGAAATACTGGCCCCAAAGGAGTCCTTTAGGAAACTCCCACAAATCTCATTCAGGGCTAGAATATCACCAGTATGGAGAACGCATGTATCTTTAGAGAGACCAAGATAGCTCTTTTAAAGGGAACTTCTTTGCAGATCCTTCCACGAGAGCTTGAAATTCCAAACTCCAGCTGCAGTCTTCACACAAACTCTGCCAACTTCAGTCACATTGTATTAACTCAACCACTCAAGTCCATTTAAGCCAAGTGAAACCCAAATGCCTCTGGAGGTGTTTAACAGTCCATGCTAATGGTACCAGAAGCCTCTCTAACATGCCACTGATGTCCATGTCCTTCAGGGGTACAGTTTGAAAGCAGATGTCCTGCAAACACTGCCACAGGTAGCAGACAGATGGGCAGCCAGGGACTTGTGCAGTACAAGTGTGTGCTGTGCTGCCAGTAAGGTCAGTTACATCAGTTTTCAAAGAGCCAGTTGACAAAATGGAGTCCAGTAGATTCAGCGTTTCTAGAGGAATAATGTTAGGTGTTCCCATTTTCCTTCCTCCCTTCCCCTCCCCTTGCTCTGAACACGTCCCCCAGGTGCCACATTCAGAGTGTCACATTCAGGCCTTCTGCTTTCATGGGCTTTTCTGGGAGAGTTTGATGGTGACTGTTTTCACTTCAGTGTATTCTGCCAAAGCATATTCACCACTGGAAGAGAGGAGGGAAAGGGACAAGCAATTGTAGCTTGTTATTGTGTACTTCCCCAAAGTAAGAGATTTATACACAAGTGCATTTTAGCCTCTGATTGACAGCTGCTGTCAATGACATCGGGCCATTAAAACCAGATCTAAACCAACCTAAACCAGCTATCAGTTTGGCCCCCCACTGCTCATAATCATGAAGTACATGCGCCTAAGTACCCACAATTACACCCTGTTGTAAAAGAAATGTGGAGTGCTTCTGGTAACAGTAACCCTGAAGATGACACCTTGTGACCCTCTCTCTAATGAAAACAGAGTACTATTGTGAGAACCCATAGAAGAAACATCTACATAAACATATTTACCAGTGCTTAGACAGTAATTAAATTTAACTTTTCACTGAAAGTAACTTCTGCCTACAAGATACCATGTAATAAAGAGGGTGCAGTTGCTCCAGAAATGCATATGGATGACAGACCCCACCACTGCATTGTCTTGGTTGGTGGAAAGTGGCTCTATTCCCATGCATTGTCCAAGGGATAAACCCCTGACAGCCTTTAGTTAGCCATGCAGTCAGGCAAAGTAAACTGTAAGGTCTCTATATATATATGTCCCATTCGAGGATTCATTCATTCGCTGTCTTTAGTGAGTGAGGCATCTGGATGTCTCAGAGCAGCAGATGCACCAGAACAGCTACTGGAAGTGGTTCCTGGAAATAAATCTGGCATCAGAATCCTCTGAAGAGTCTTCTGAATGGTGTAATAAAACCTGCCTCTCTCCTACACAAGAAGAAAGTCAAGATCTAAGCCAGTTTGGCAGTTCTACTTCTAACTTAGAGGGTGACGTTGGTTTAAGAACTTCTGCATTCGTGACCTGGAATGTCTGGTGGCCCTGCTGCAACAGGCTGGGGAACAAGGACAGGGGTCCTCATGTAACTTAGTTGCAAGCTTGGGAGGTGGGACCTAGAATGATTTTGGAGATCATTCCTTGTTGTTTTAGCTCCAACATGAGAAGGTCAGAGGTGGGAAGAGGTCCAACTAGGAGCAATCGAGGGAGGCCCAGATACCACCATATAAAGACGGAAGAGGTTTGGGGTGGACACCAGTGTCCCCAGCCAAAGTACCATACTTCTATATTGACGTAAAAGTTTATCTAGTAAGGAAAAATGCTTGCAAGTGGAATTGACTGATCTGGAGTAATTAAAAGCTTATGAAGCAGGTGAAGGTACTCTAAAAGGCACCACTTGCCTGTACTGGCTTAGCACCTCCCTCTGCAGTGTACTGCAAGCCTGATAGTTTAAAAGCAAATTTATCAACATTTTCACAGTTACTGCATTCACCATCCACATATAAACAAAATATTGAGCAAAACTCACAGTTCTCTGCCATTGCCTGACATTTTAAAGCCACCAAAAGGAGCCTGTGCGTAGAGCGCATTGTAACAGTTGATCCTACAATAAAAACATCAATTGTAAAACCACAATTCAATTCCAAGGAGAAACAAGATGATGATGACAACAACAACACAGAAAGGCTGAAACCTGACAGTTTTCTCTTTATACAGTTCATTCACTTTGAAATCAGATTTTAGCAATAAAATCTTATTTTGTGACAGAAACAGAAAACATTTGAGTGGTGCTCACTCTGACCTACATCTCACTTCATAGTCTCTTAACGGCTAAGACATTCATGCTTGAGCTGGAATTTATGCTATGTTCAGAGCTGTGCTTAAAATAAATAGTACAACCTATTCCCTAATTTAATGAAGCACATTCTGAACTGAACATGTTTACTCAGAAAGCTGTCTATAAACACTCATGAGCAGCCCCACCATCTACTTCCAGGTATAGAAAAAAGTTGGACTGCGCTAGACAATTGTGTTGCAGTAGTATTGGAGTGTCAGGCACTTTTCTGTAGATATTAGGTAGAAAAAGCTAAGGCAGGTATTTCCTCAGCATCTCAGTAAGCTCAAGTGACTGAAGAGAGACAGGTATGGCTTGGTGCTAGAGGACTACCCCTTCATATATGCACAGCACATATCCTACAAAGCCCAATATCCCATTTTCATGTAAATGTTACTCAGAGGCAGATTCTTCTGGTGCCAAGTCTTGCAGTCAGTCCTCTGTAGGCATCAAATCAGATCTCAGAACAAATTCCTATCTTAAGTGGGGAAAAAAATCAGGATTCCTTCTTTAAAATGATTCTAATATAAAATAAGTAATTTTGTAAGCAAAAATAGCTGATCTTTCTGACAGTGGAGTGATGCCATCTACCGTCCATACTGATTTGTGCAGCTAAGACTCATGCTACCTAAAGACAGTGAGAATTGCTTCTCCCTACATGCTGGAAAGGATCATGTCTGGTGGAACTCACTACAACCCCCTTAACACTTTCAGAGTTTTCCAGTCGAAGAACTGGAACTACATCAGTTGAACGAAAAACCACTCCATTTCTTGCCTGTCTGGTCTTTACCACCTTATTTTGATGAATGGATGTTGCTTTTGAGCAGAATGTCAGGAATTAAGCGGACTAATACATCTTACCTCTGGCGCGTGATTCCAAATCATACAACCCTCCCCTCTTCCACGAAACAAAATCCCAGCCCACACTCTGGTCCCACACTGCTTACCAGACTGTTCCCGACTGCAATGCCGAAGCTAGCGTTAATGCTCTGTCCAGATTCTTTGTGAACACTGCAGCTGTGAGTCCATACTCAGTACTGTTGGCTCTTCTTATGACCTCTTCTATACTCTTGAACTTCATAATTGGCTGAACTGGCCCAAAAATCTGCACACAGTAGAGGAAAGCCTTTGCTAATCATGGCAATGTTGAAGTAATCAGAATTAGGTGCTTTGTTTGGATACTTTATTTAAAGTCTTATATCCTGGTCTTCTAGAAGTCACTGATAAAGTCTTTAAAACCTGGTCATTAAACTGACTTCAAAGGAAGTACAGTGATGTGCTATAGTAGTTAATACATGCTAAGATCCAACAACTAATGGATCATATGTAACAATCAGAATAAGCAGAGTTAGATCTGGACAAGTTTCAAATGATTCATCCTTACCCCTTTTATAACTCTCCTTTAGAAGTCAGTTGAGTGCACTCAAGTAATAATTCATATATTTCAAGGACTGCAAGTTTTCCTCCTCGGTTTGAACTCTGATTTTGTCATTGTATGCAGTTTATTTGCATGCAGTGCATTTACCATGCATATGTTTGACCACAAACTTGGCTTCCCAGGCTGCCAGTATAAAGGCAGCAAGCACACACAATGCTTCCCAACTTCTGGATGGAGTTTCTCATCCGGTATGACATTAAAGGTGAGGCCCTTTTCTGGCCTGTGTGGTCTTGCAGTATAATAAACCCTGAGCTAAGGCGAGATACAGTCTCACTTGTGCCACCTTGAGGGCCAGGCTGAGCAGTTTGCCTGGCCCTCAGGCTCATACAAGTGTTTCTAAATGTCTTCATTATGTTCATACTTAACTTGACCCTAGGCAAAGGATGAACGTGCCTCTGCCACAAAACTGAGAATGAATGAAACTAGATAAACTTCATGAATCATGGCTTGGGATGTGGAGTCAGTTCATTAAAAAAAGGCCTGTCATGGGATTTTCAGCTCTCATTCCCTCTATTTTTAGACTGTAACTCATGCCCAGACTGACTGATATCTTTCCCAGGTTTCTCAGAGATGCTGTGGCAGATCTGAGACATCTAAACATTTTGCCAGGAGTGCACAGTAAGTAGCCCCATAAAAAGCACTAGGTTAAACTATAATATACAAGTGCCAGTTAGTTAGACTTTGGCAACTACTTAGTTTCCATTGGGGAACATGATGAAAAGTAGATTAACTTCTATTTCAAAGGAATATCAGAGGATCTAATCACATACAGCTTGTTCAATTTTTTTGCATATGAATAATGAAAGCCAGAGTATTAGAGTTGCACTTTTCTGGCTTCAACCATGTTTGCATAGAGGAAAAAATGGTCAATCCCAGCGGATTTCACCATGAAAGCAGAATCATGGATCATTTCAGACGTTAAGGCTGAGAAAAGTTCTTCAGTGGCAATATAGCAGGGCCATTCCTTCCCTCCTGACTAGCTTCACTGCACTTTCCTGCAAAAAAGCAACTCCTTTTTTACAAAGTAGTGGAGCAAGAACACAGATTATACTGTCCTCTCTCACTGTAAATCAGCATGTACCACAGCTGAGCAATTTCAAATCCACTCAGTAGGAGGTGCATGAGAACACATCTGCGTAGAGTGGGAGAGCTTAACTGTCTTCAGAAAACCTTTCAACTTCAGGGCAAAGAAGACATAGATTGCTCCAGCCTGCCATGGTTTCAGTTATTTTTATTCATTTATATTTAAAATCAAGAGTTCAGACAGAAACCCTTCCATCACCTCTATTTCTTACTCAGAAGCAGTGTTTACCTAGGTAAGGCATGCACTTGTGTTTTGCATTATATCAAGTTCTGCTGAAATGAGACCAGAAGCTTTAGGGTAGTGTTACGTACTATATTTTTGTCTGGGTTATTAAGGTCCACTACATACACTCACAGGGTTACTTCCCTTTTAGAAAACCAAACAGAATGAGGGAAAGGTGCAAGGCATTAGAAAGGGCTGCAGACATCTATTAATTGCACAAAAATTGCTGCTAAAACATTTTGACAGGGTTTTTGCCTGTTCTGCTCTCCCCCTTCTTCTCCCACAATTCCCCCTCTATGCACATACACCCAGATTGAAGCTTACCTTACAGAGACTTCATTAGTAGAATAGATTTCATTATTAAGACTTGTTAAGACACTGAAATAAGTGAAACTTCTATTCTTCTCTCAGGTTTTCACTTCAAACTACAACCATATCTCTTTTCTTTCCCATTTCAATGCATATAAAGGTTCAGGTGACTTTTACTGTACCTCCTCTTTGGCGATACGCATGTTGTCAGTGACCTCTGAAAACACAGTGGGTTTTATGAACAGGCCTCTGTCTTCAATGGCAAGACCCCCACACTCCAGCTTAGCCCCTTCTTTCTTCCCACTTTCTATCAGCTCCAGGATTTTATCAAACTGGTTTTGGTCAATCTGTCAGACACAGAAAGAAAAGAAACAGACAACAGTGCCTTTATTATCACTGTTCCAGAGACTGGAGTCATGGTATGTGGCCCAGGGGCACATTTCAGGGCACTGACAAAGCGGGTGAGTTTATATCTCATTCTATGACATGACAGTCAGGCAATAAGCAGGCTGAAAGACAGGACATGAGCATAGCCCTGAGCCACAGAAAACAGGAGGTGAAGTTACATGTGATAGTTCAATCTGATCTAATAGTTTGCTGCCACATGGAGAGGGTCTCCCCATTTTCCCTGCCTCCACATCTTGGATATGCACTCCCATGGCCCACCTCGCTCCCACTCTGGAATTTACTAACCTTCTCCATGCACTCATTCAGCTCAGTAGCATCATGAGAGCAGCCTGAGATGAGTTTTGCTGGGCTAGCAACCTCAGCCAGCTCAGCAAGGGATCTGACCAACAACAGAAACAGTGCGGGGGGGAGAATCAGGGTATATAAACTATTAAGCTGATGTTGCTGTAATGTGCAGCTTCACCCACAGCTATCTGTCCCCAGCTGGAAGAGCCCAGCAAGCTCTGCCTTCAACTCTTTACACACACACACACACACACTGTATAACCAGCCTCAAAGATAAGCCTATTAATGGGGTGACTTTAGAACAGCTACTGCTCTGAAGCCATACTCTTAAAATCATGCAGGTACTGTCAGGCTTCAAAAAACCATGCTATTTGCATGATGCATAATTAAGAGATGAAACACCTCATCATAGCACACTGCAGATGGTAGGAGTCATCTGAAACTAAAACTAACAAAACCCTTCACAAGTTCATAGACAAATAAAGGACTCCAAGGTGCCCAGGCAGCCTGGGAGGTTATTCTGAATGCCAGGTATCTCCAGATGCTTGTACTCGTTCAATACCCCTCCCTAAGCATCTGGTTTTATTTCAGCGGGGCCAGTTGGGACTGTTTACTTGGAGTGTTCCACACTCGACTCCTCTAGATTACAGACTATATCCTGTCCTTAGTTAATCCTGGCCACACGCAATCCGAGTTGTCATGCTTTTAGACAAGTATCAAAGCTTCAGGAGGGTGTCCTTGGGGTACTTCTGGTACACAGTGGAAAGAGAGAGCAGCACATCTCCTGCCACACAGATGTGTGTATCACATGTGCTGTGGACAGCTTGTACTAAGTGCTCATGTTCACTCGTGTTAAAATGCTACCCAAGAAAACACTTGATGCATGCTACTGCACGAGAAAATGTGTGCCCTCTTGTAGGACTCAGGGTGTCACATAGTAAGTTTGGCAGGTGTCACACATATTGTCTATTTGGCTGGTTGCTTAGTTGCCAAATGTAAATAGTTTGAAATATCTGCAAGTGCTTTCCATCCTGGCATGTCTGTGATCCAGAGCAAGCCAGTCCATCCACTTCACATCACAGAAAACAAAACAAGGATATTTATACAGCTGTAACTTGTTGCAAGGCAAACTATAGTTAGATGAAAAGACACTGGGGAAAGAAAACATTTGTAAAAATGACATGCAAGGGTGGAACTGTTTGTCATTGTAACTAGAGCTTGCAAGGCTTGTTTAAATTCTGTCCCCTACTCCACTATTATTTATGGTTTGAATATTGACTTATATTAAATACACATGGTCTGGTAGAGCATATTCTGCTATTTGTTCAACTGATTCAAAAGAGAAGAAGGGTTCCAAGGATCACTGCAATAGTGAAGCCCTGAGAACCCCCAAATCTTCATATCTTGCTTCATTTAAGTCAAGACTTCAAGGGGCAAGTTTTTCCTTTTCCAAGCCTAGCATTTGTAATCCTACAGAATAATCACACAACAATCTGGTGGGCACCGACTCTTTCACTTACATATTTTACTTTCATGCTTTAATCCTAAAGTACACAAACATCTACAGTCTAAGGAAAATATTCACCATCTTAAAATTCAAACAATAGGTTTGGGGCTGGATAAGTGCTGGCTACCAACTGCCATGAGGCAGCCTTGATGCTTGTTTTATTCCAAGTCTTGTAGTCCACAAATCCCAGCATTTGGGGTTCTACAATAACAAAACTAGTGCAGTCTTGTTCTAATCTAATCCAATCCCTGTTCAGGTCCACCAGGATGTTAGTCTCATCTAACGCAGTCTGCTGCTCACAGTTGTATAATGCCCTGGTTAACCACTTTGCCATCTGTGCAGAATTACTTTATTACTTCCTGTGATACAGCTCACAGGAATCCAAAGTTAAAAACCCCTTGGTCTGCATTTGAGGTTGGCACTCAAACAGCCCTGATCACCCCTCAGGTTTCTTGTGGTGTCCTTTGAGTTGCAGCCAGCCAGCACAGTCAGACCCATGTGAGTGTTGGAGAAGGCTCATCAGAAGCATGCCTCGTTTCTGTTTAAATTTAATACTGTTTAAATTTGACCTAATTTTGGTCAGAGCAGTGCAGCTTCTATCAGCATAACCTAATCCTGGAGCCGACAGTCTTTTTCCCATACCCATGGCAGGAGCACCCGTGCCAGTGCACAGTAATCCACATCAGGGAACTGACCTGAGTGAAACCTTTCTTGCTCACTTCCAGAAAGGCTGGATTAGACCTGAATCAGCCAGTTCCTAATCTAGTGTGTAAGTGCAGTGCAATATAGGAACAAACAGCTGCACACAGGACCACGTTTCTAAGTTCTTGTGGAACTGCAGAGGCTGTAAAAAGTGTAAAACGCTTTCTGAACTCTCTGTAATTGCAGGTCCTGTTGTCCGACTATGATCATTTGGAGCTGATGCAGGACCAAAAAATCATGGGCTACAACTACTGTCAGCCTAAAGCTGGCTCCAACTCCTTCCCACTGTTGGCTTCTAAGCCAGTGATCGTCCCAGAATGGGGTCTACATAGCAGCATGTGGCCATTTTTGTCATGCTATTGTGTATGTTCACCCTGACCCACACAGAAGAATGAAAGCAATGACCTGGATCTGAAGCACTGAGGCCTGACAGGGAGAGATGAAGGAGAAGAAGATAACAGAATATCCTTCCTGGTGAGTCTTCCCTTATCCATCAGTTCAAGATAAAAAAAAAAAACCCCTCACAGCAGAACAGGAACAGAGGAAAAATTTCCTTCAGGAACAGAGGAAAAATTTGCTCTGGAAGCTTCACATTTGAACAGTAACCTGTGGGCAGGTGTGAATCTTTGCTACTTTCAGAGGCATTTTAAGCCCTTGTGCCACTGCATCATTTCTCTCTTCTGCTTGAATTTCTGTGTGTTGCATCTTACAGCATAGGCTCCAGACAGCAAGCAACCATAGCTGCAGAGTAAGTGGTTGTTACTTTGCACTGTCAGCCACATGAAAGCTTTGGGATTAACAGTTTCCTCCCATTCTCTTAACACCTTCCCATCTTGGGCTTGCCAGCTGCATGCACAGAAGTTCAGGTGTGTGTGTGCCCTCTCTCCTAGGTACAAGTGGAACAGATAAGCCAGAACAAGGAAAGAGGACACATGGGCCATATTTAAAATCTGACCAGACACTGCTATTCCAACTTATTACCCTCAATTATAGCTCTCTATGCAAAGAGTCTCCCTTAAGCAGAAAGAAGGTAAGAGCAGACCTTGAAACAGTTGGAGGGTCAGCTCTTCTCTGCTGAAGCAAGTTCCAGCATAGGATTATTGTCCTACAACTGCTGAGCAGTTTGAAATCTCTTTCTAGGCAAGTTAAAGGATAGGTGTAACCCCAGCATGAACAGGGGATGTACACTGGCTTCTTCCACATGCATGAGGACACACAATGAGGTTTTGCTATGCATGAATCATGTGTAAATGGGTCTAGATCCAGATAAGGGGGAGCAGATGTCTTCACAGCCATCCCGTCTCTGAGGGATCCTATATAGCATCAAGGAATTAAAACACACAGTGCAGTACTAAGAACAGGAGGCCTAAGCTACAGATTTCTGTGATTCCCTCTTTATTTTTAGCAGCAACCAGTGGCCCTGTTAGAAGATCTGACCCAAGGATCATCTTCCTCCAGAGCTCTCCAGCACAGCTCAGATTGCTTCAGAAGGAAAAAATGAGAGGAAGGCTCTGAAAGCATTGACAAGGCTGGTCATGACAGCGGCTTGGCATGGTTCTTCCTCCTAATTCAGCTGAAAATTCTCCAAAAGGATCAGAAAACGAGCAGAGGAAGAGAGGGAAAGTGGGGACTCAGGAGTCCCTGGGCTCTAACTACTTGTCATCACCAACACAGCTAAGTAGCTGAATGGCCATTTCTGCAGCTGCACTCTTCTGTGCATTGCTTCTTGTTCCAATATGCTTTGTATTAATGTACCAGGGAGTCAGCCCCTTCCATAAAGCTGGATAAGAAGTGAATTAAATACATTTGTGTTTAAAAAAAATTACAACATAACATTTCAACAGTTGTGATTAATTGATATTTAAAATAGCGAGAAAAATAAAGCCATGATACATTACTCACCCCGCAGCACTTCGACCGGGACCATATTCGTAAGGATAATATTTACACAAGGAAAATGAAATAAAACCACAACCAAACCCCAAACAACAACTGTTCTCAAGCACACAGTTACCTGGGGCCCCTGTTCAGTTCTGGCATCAAAGGGGTCTCCAACGAGTCGCTTCTTGGCATACTCCACGCTGCGCTTGACAAACTCGGGGTAGATCTGCTCCTCCACAAACACTCGCGAGGCGGCCGTGCAGCACTGCCCTTGGTTGAAGAACACGCCCTGATGGGCACATTCCACTGCCAAGTCCACTGCAACACAGCCCAGGAGGGAAAAGTGTTACCACATGCAGTTTCAGCCTCCCAGTATTTTCAGACTTGGTTTTTTGCCTTTCTTTTTTGAAAGCCTCCGTAAAACAGTGCTGACAATGGTCCACACCCATTGAAGGCACCCACAAGGCCTCATGCTGCCCCCAAACCAGATCACTTATTCCACCCCACTTCCTGCCTTTTGACTCAAGGTCTAGTTTGCCATAGCTCCTGGTATTTTCTTCCACAGGGACTCATTGAGGGCAGTAACCAGTTTTAACCTGCTGTGGGAATTCAGATGTGGATTCCTAGATACTGTGCATTGGTCCCTGAAAAGTAGTTTCAGTTGTGATTGTTCAGAAAGCAGTGTTCCCTTCTGTTTTAAAGCCAGCTTCGACCAGGTCCTTGCAATGCTCTGTTAGCACATGGCACAAATACCTTTCAGGCCATTTCAGTATAATGGTCTGCTCACCTGCCATAGGAATGGTCCCTGTGCTGGGCAAGAGCTCCAGTAAAGAACTGCATCTTGCCCTTGGACAGAGGTTTCCTTCAGTCTTTGGGGTGGATGCAGAGACACACAAAAAGCACTATGCTCATAGTCTCTTACAGCAAATAAACACAGCAGCTAATACTTACGGTCTGCGTCTGCACACACAATGCAGGGGTTTTTCCCTCCCAGCTCTAACGTCACCCTTTTGAGGTTGCTTTTAGAAGCAGCTTCCTTGATCAGTTTCCCAACCTGTAGCATTGAGACACAAAGAGCACATGAGCTGTTTCCCATGAAAGTCTTAACTCAATGTGTCAAGTGTGACGCTGACAGGGTTAGAAGAGCCTGGTGGGCAGCTGAAGCAGGCAGAAGTCAGGGACAGCACTCTTAAACAGTTTGAGTTTCTTACTGCTGTAACGTGCTGGGTCAAAACCAGCCCCAGAATTAATGTTTGGTTTAGGCAGATCTGAAAGGGGTGGGCTATGTGGAGAGCTACAGGAACTGTGTCCTGAAGTTATCTGCTGCCCAGAGCTGCAGAACAAGGCATTTCCCACCCAGTGCAAGCTCGTGAGCAACACTGACAACCAACAGGGCTCCAAGGTTTGTGACTTATACTTTTAAAAGCTGGGAATTCAACTTCTTAGAGTAGATTTTGCCAAGGCAATGATAAGAACTCATTGTTCCTGTTACCACTCCCATACCAGAAAGCCATGTAGAGATTTTGACATTTAGGAGAAAACTACAGAAACTTGTTCCTTCCAAGGCAATACCTGAGGGTGTCGACAAACTCTGTCAAACTCTGCTGTGGCACTTTCTGCCCAGGAACCTGCTCTGGCCATCTGGTGGCATTTATCTGTCTACCCTCTCCTGAAGGGAGGGATTTACTCTGCTGCCAGGATTTAATCAAAGTAATGTCAAACTAAAGGGATTTCTTTTCCCCCACAGAAAAATTGTTTCCTCTCAGATGTTTTCCCCACATTCTGTCTGTGCTAGTTCTTTTTTTATACTGGTAACACCAAACCAGCAATTTCTCTTTCCATTTTAAAAATCGGAATTCCTCACAAGAGCATAAATCAAGCATCAGAATCATTTAGTAACCTAATTTTGTTAGAAACAGCGTTAGTTAAAACTAATTGGGAGCTTCAATTGTTAAGGCAGGTTATTTTTTCTAAGGACCTTCTATTCGAATGCCCTCATTTTGTAACTGACTTTCTTGTATTTTACTTTTGCACGTGCCAATCTTTACTTTATTTCTGCCTAAAATCACTCTGGAGTGGAGCTGTGAGCAAGGAAAGCATGGGGCAGCTTCTGGCAGCTGTAGGTCTACATTTCTCATGGTTTGCCTTTGTAACTCCAGCAAGGCTCCTGAACCTACCAGTACAGATCATCTTTAGGCACTCAGCAGCCTAGTCCTAGAGAGAGCAGAAGTGATGCATCATGGTGCAGATACACACAGGTTCACCAGAGGCATTCCTACAAGCTAGCTGGCTGGAGAGGAGTAAGTTAATATACTAAGGGAAAGAAAGAAATCTAGATGGGAAACTTCTCATGGAGTTTAAGCAAAGTGTTTCCAGGCTGGCCCTGAGCCCAAGCTGGGGCTTAAGAACTAAGTCAAAATATATTTTGAATTAGCTTCACTTCCTGGCTCAGAAACAGTAGCGTTATGCTGCAAATACAGCAGAGATGCAGCTGAACTCACAGATGGGTGGAGGGGGAAGAAAACACTTTTAAATTACACATACATTAGCAAGGAATCTGTCTCCCTTGGTGTTTCCTGCACACCCATAGATTAGGAAGACAAGCACAACATCTATATGAGTTTTTTGCCTACAGGCTCCAGCAGCAGAGATTTTCCTCCTCCTCCTAATCCACTGGATACTCCTTTTTCATTAAAAACCCAAACAGATCCATGTGGGCTGGATGAGTCTGTAAGTTTTATTGTTTTCACACAGCCAGTGTCTCATCTGGGCTAAAAGTTTCTAATCTAGGATTTGGAGAGAGCATGTAACTGGGTAAACTCCTAGATTAGAGAAACTACCAAGACAGTAAAAGCTCATTGTGAACTTCACTGTGTTTGTTTCCTTGATCCCGATACAGAAACAGGCTTAACACACCTTCTCCTATGGGATAAGCAAAGCAGTTAGCATATACTCAAAGCCACTAGATGGTACTGTTGTTAAACGCAGCAGTTTTTGAGTGTTTCGTTACTTTTACCGACCAAGAGTACCATTCGAGGTAATTTGTCATCATTATACATTTAGATTACACTCTGCAGTTATGAGAATAGACATAAGAATGGAAGAATTCGTAATTTCTCACCAAGAATAATGTTACTTAAAGAAATAAAAGAGAAGAGACTATTTGCCTCAACTGCACCCACTTGTGTCAGCATTTCCATTCTTTGGACAGAACCTCTCTTCAGGGGGTGAGTATATATTGCAAAGAAAATCTGGAGCAGTGAGTGGGAAAACGTTCCCATTTCTAAGCAAGCTTTTGTCTGAGGATTTTCTGTTTGCATGTCACAGCTGTGCTCAGTTCCATGGACTGGGACAAGCTACGTGGTCCTTTCCCCCATGCAAGTACAGAAGAGGACAGCTATAGGTGTCTGACAACACAGAGGTCTCACTTCCACTCCTCTCATAAGCAAAGCAGCTGTAGCTATTTACAGGAAGAAAACGAATAGAAGGTGCTTTACTGTACAGGTCTCAAAAGCAGCTCAAATGTTAATCCCATGCACGTCAGCAGAGGAAGCCTCGGGCACAGAGCCATGTTTTTATTTAAGTCCTAGTTTCTCAGAGGTAACTGAAGATGAGGAAGAATTGTTCAGGGCTCTGACTGACATGTTTTCCATCTGTACATGCTTGCAGGGCAGGACTGGCAGGGAAACGTGCCCAGAAGCTCCATCAGGTCAATGACATGATGCTAAGACATTGCCAGCCTCCCCTGTAGACTCTTGCCTTATGTCAGAGCATCTATTACTTACAGTTCTTACAGAAACGCAGTGGCTTGGCAAAACCAGTTTACAGAGATGTGGGATTGTCACAAACACAAGGACCTGAATTAGACAAATCCCAAACACTTCTGAGAAATCCTGTCATATGGAATGTGATGGAAAATGGTGTTGGATATAGAGAAATCACTGACATTTCATTGGTCCAGCCTTATATGGCTGACAGTTTTAGAAGAGAACGCAAAAAGGAACAGCAGGTGCTTTAGGAGGAGTCCATCACCTACCTTTGTTGATCCAGTAAAAGCAATTTTATCAATGCTGTGATGGGTAGAAATGGCAGCTCCAGCTGTGGGGCCGTAGCCTGGCACTATGTTCACCACACCTGGAGGGAAACCCACCTAAAACAGAGGTTAAATACAGCCCTGTAGAGAGATCATGAGCACCATGGAGATGATCTGCGCTCCTGAGAATGCAGTTCAGTTCTCAGGAAGCTTGAATTAGTTGTACTATGCTCCTTGTAATTAAGAATTGCAAGTTGCAGACAAGGAGCCCATACCAGCTACATTCCTGTTTTCCAGACTTTCCAGTAACATGGCTGCGTGCTACCAGCTGGAGTAGACATGGGTAGAGCTAACAGCCATGCTTTGGAAATGCCAAGTTTCAGTAAGAATTCTTGGAGAAGTCCCAGTTTCAAAAGAGAGTGAAATCTTCTGGCCAAACTTGGCCCCCAGCTACTGCTGTGCAGCTGGAGCCAAGGGATAACTGAATGAAAGTTTGTTTTGAACAAAGGTTGACATTTGTGGTTCTTCAGGGGCCAGAGGGATTAAGAAGTCAGTAAAACCTCACTAGATGATGGGGCTAATAAAACAGGAATACAAAAGCAGATGGTAACAGACGTATACCAGTTCCCACCACATTTACAACCTAGATTAGCCAGCTAGTAATTTTGCCAAAAGAGACAAATGGTAAAACTCTAGGTGAAATTCTAATGCGAGGAGAAGTGTGGGACTTACTGGTCTGGTTTTAGTTCCCGAAACAAGAGTTTCAACGATTATGCTTGTCTAGGTCAGCCCTCCCCTACTACTGATTGTGCAAGGTTGTTTTCCCTGCAATTTCTAACAATGGAATTGCAGGGTATTAAATATTCACTTCATTTATTGTGGCTTTTTAATGTAAAATCTCAATAACTGCAATTGCTCCTTCCCAACACATAAAAAATTGAAGTAATTGCTCATGTTAGCTTCTTTTTTTCCTGCTTTTTCTTTTCAGAAATCTGCAGGGTTTTCTTCTGTGGATGCAACAGTGATAAAAGTGAGTTGAACACAGTTTGCATCTTGGCTAATGAGTTTTCAAGAAAGCACTGCATGTCAAACTGAGCAAGTAATGCTGTTTGGAGTCAGCAGCAAAGCCACAAGGAAGTAAAAAAACTGGTTCAGGTCACCCTGAGCCAGAAAGTTTTTTCTGTTTTCTTCAGCAAAAAAGAAAGGGAAAATATTTTGGTTGGCCCAAAATTATTTCCTTGAACCTAACACATAACTTTGTTTTTGTGTTAACATCTTCTGCATCCTTTTAAAGAGGAAAATATACATATATATATATATATACACATACATAAATTAACTTATTCTTCTGAAAAGCTGCAAAGAATTCAGCTAATTTGGGGTGGAGAAAGGAGCATCTTCAAATAAAATTACTCGCTCTAATTACACTTCTGCCTCGAAGGACAACTGTGAGGAACAGGCAGCTTAGAATTTCAGCTCCAAAAATCGATTTAATCAGAATGGAATTGTTTTGGTTTGTTTTGTTTTTTTGGGGGGGATGCTATGCTTGTGTTTGGGGAGCTGCATGTCAGCGTGAAAAAAGCAGTGGCATGACAGGGCTAACAGAAATCATGGCAACTGCACTCTATGCTCCCTCATCTTGTGTAATCTTCTTAAGTCATTTAACTGTAGAAGATGCTTAACTGGTAGTATTTTTGCACTGCCTTTCCTGGCAGAAGAGCCCCAAGTGTCAGTTATTAACATATCCTTCTATTTACTCCCAGGCTAAGCCAAAAGCAGACAAAAATCAGCATTACCTTTTGACTGAGCCTAACAAACTTTTCCAGGTGAGAGGCAAAAGTGTCTCTACAACCCTTATAGTTTTCTCACAGTTAGTTACATATGTAGCTGTAGGAAGCTGATGTACTACTACAGTGCTGGAAGTACTACCACCACCTCAGTATGATTAATAGGTCTAAGGGCACCTGGCATCCTACCAACATTTTGGAATCCCAACCTATGATCTTCCCTTTATGTCAGTATGGAGTTGGCTTTACAGGCCAGACATAGACAACTTGTTCTATGAACTGCAGAAATGATGAAGAATTGTTTCCCATGGCACTCTGTCTTGGTTGAATTATCCCACTTAAAAATGGTATAAACACAACACTGCTGTCAAAACACACTCTCTTTGTCCTGTTGTCTAAGAAAACTGAGCTGTATTCTTTCCCTCATTTGGGAGAGGGGAAGACAAGGCAGAGGAATAAAAGCACCGGTTTTTCTCTCTGCAGCCTCCTGAGAAAGGAGAAAAACCTACAGGTTTTGTGATCTTTGCTCTCCCAACCAGTGCCAGTCATGAAGGCCTTTGTAAGCACAGACTGAAGACACAGGTTGTTCTCCCTTTCCTCTGTTAGGCTTTAACATCTTTAAAACCTAAAATCCTACAGTTTCAACTCAAAATATAGCCTTGCTTAAGACCTTAAAAGAACAGTACCTAGACAGGATGTTCAGATTTCCTTACCTCCTTGATCAGTGAGCCAATGTACAGCGATGTGAGAGGAGTTTGTTCAGCTGGCTTAATAACCAAAGTGTTTCCACAGCACAGTGCCGGTGCCATCTTCCAAACCAGCATCAGCAATGGGAAGTTCCACTGCAAGAACACAAGGCTGGTGGTCAGCTCAGCCTGGCACAGTCACCTACCCACATCCACACAGCATTTTCCCCACCTTCACACAGCACAGGGAGAAAGAAGCAACTGGGAGAACAGCCACAGGGAGAAGTGGCTGCTTACAAATCTGTGTTTGCTTGGAGTACGGAGTGTAACTTCCTTGATTTCCCCTGGAGATCCCAAATATTGCTGCCAGCCCTCATGCTAATCCTGTAAGTTGGACAAAGCTCTGCGTGATGTGACCTCATTCCTTACAGGAGTTTGAGCACACTTTGTATAGGATTTTGGCTGTTCACAGGAACTGGATTGGAAGCAGTGTCCTGATGCATCACTTCTGCACAGTGTCCTTATGTGGGGAATTACAGGGTGCAACTGCTCATCGAAAAAACCTCAGTTTTCTGTGTTAGGTGTTGGCTGAGCAGCTCAGTTATACAATATCATTCAATTCCAGGTTTATAACCAGGAAACTGCAGTGGGTTGTTCAGTCATGGAAATCCAGGGGAGGTCTTATACTCCCTTCAAATTGTAAATTGCTCCTTTCCAATTAGTTTTCTTATAAGGAATTAGGAACCAGTCCACATGAGTTTCCTCTGTGCTAATCTCTTTCATGGTCATGTGTATTTGTAGACCTTGGAGCCTAAGCAAGAAGTGGAAAATCTAGCTCACACTAAATCTCAAAAAGGTCATTTGGCAGCAGAAAGGATTTCTTCATTAAAAATAATTAATGCTGCTTTAGGGATGATGGAAGCAGGCCAACAGTAAGGGGGCTTCTTCTCAAGACTCAAGCCAAGGGCCTTCAGCTTTCAACAAAGAAGCCAAATATGTTAGGAATCTACAAATTCACACTTACAAATAAATTAGCAGTGTAGCTTTTAAGAAATGAGCTCTGTTCTAACCCAGCAGCCCTGAGACAAAGCAGAATTTAGTCTAATGTGCTATTCTTCAACTCGCCTCTCCCTCTTTCCCAGACTTGTTGTTTCAATGATCTCCAATGGCCACATCCCATGATTTGCCCATTTGTCTTTTTCTCCTAAGCCTTCTTTGAAGGCCTGACTTTGCAGCTTGAGCCATCCACACCTATACTACTTTTCTACACTTCCAGACCAAGATATAACTCCATTAGGAGCTTTCTGTTGCAGAATGGCTGGTGAAAGTAACAGTGAAGGACCCCAGGGCTGCCTCATAACATCACCTTGGGATAAAGTTCAGTCATAAGCTGCACTTTCTAAGAACTTCCCTTGCTAAGAACATTGGTTTCAATATAGTCAAGCCACAGGAAAAAAGGGAGGACTGGTAATTGGTGGAGGGAGACATATGCTGAGTAGTGACAGAATCTCTTTAAATCAAGTAGGAATATACAAACCCACAGACTGCTGGCGTTAGAGATCAAACTGGGGAAAGAATTGAAGGGGATTTGTTCTAAGTAAACTGAAGACAGATGTGGTTTTGTTGACCCCAATCATCCTTTTTACAAACAGTGTTGAACTTGAGTCAAATTTGGTTCTGTACTTTCTGTTGTATTTATGGTTGATGGAGGGTCAACCTGAAATACTAGAAGTCCTACTATGTCCCCTTATAGTGGCCTTCCAAAGCAACCAACATGTAGGCTTTTAAAGGGATAGTTTCCAAAGCACTGCTGAGCGCCAAAGGTGGCTGAATGTGACAGGAAGATACCTTTTTATTTGTGATCGATGTGAGGAACCTGATGGTTTGATCAGAAGTCATAAATTCTAGTAGCTCACAAGCAGTCACATTGCTTCGTCAGCCAGAAAAGCCATGCAGAAGTCATCAAGCCAAACAACTGACAACTAGTACCAACCATCTCCCACTTTGCCTCCCCCTGTTGTTGCTAAATAGACTGTACCATCTTAACACAAGGATATAAACTCAGTTCTGCAGAAGGAAAAAGCAGAATTTCCCCAGATATCTTTGGCAACTGGTCCAGACCCGGTATTCCCAGGGTCTGGCAAATCCAACACCCCACATGCATTTCTTTCAGTCTCTCCTATAACCTTATCCCAAATGTCAAAATCTTCAGTGGACTTTTATTGATCCAAGTATCCAAACAGAGAATCTTGACACACCACCATCTGCCTTATGACCTGTAGGATATCACATTCAAAGCATTTTACAGCCAGGCAGGAACAAACTATATCTCCTGTGTAGCTGTAAAGTCTTCCTGGCTGTCTGTTAAAACAGAGCAAGTGATACACACTAGAACTGAAGGTATTCCAAGAACTAGCCACACTGTCCCCTCAAGCAGAGAATGAGACCTCAAGGAAAAGAAAACTATTCAGTGAGATTTAATCACAGAAAGCTCAGAGAACAGCCAGGCATTATTAATAATGGACATGATGTAAAACTATGCATCAGCACTAGGCAGCATAAAGCCATCACATGTAATGACAAGATGGTTGTCCCAGCAGTGCAAGAGTTGGAGAGCTCTGACTGGTCTCTGGTGGCTGGTGTCAGCCTTAAAGAGGAGCAGAGCATCTGATTATTTGACCCACCCTTCCATTGCAGAGGACTTTGTGTTGCCAAGAGCAATTGGCACAGGGGTAAACCAAGAAACTACATCAGGCAACTGAGATGGGAGTTCCCTGCAGAACAGCTGTACTTAACTAGGAAGCGAATGGCTGCAGTATAAGATGGGCAGTGCATGTGTAATTCTTACAGTTCTAAGAGAGATACAGGGCACCATCACTGCTACTTACTGGAGTTATAGCTCCACAGACACCCATAGGTTCGTGCCTGGTAAAACAGACAAAGTTGTCATCTGCAAGACAAGAATGAAAGACCAGTCAAAACCATTGCAGCTACAGCAAGAGTGTAACACAACTGCACACTAACAGGCCGGGGACAGAACTAAAACCATATTAGACAAAGAACCCTGTATCTGTTTATCTTAACTCATGTCTCTGGGACACCCCAGGTGGATGAAGATCTCCAAGAACAGGTCTTGTGTTAGCTCAAAAGCCAAACACTGCTCATGGTCACAGTGGAGCCTTTAAAACCAGAGGTAATTCTTTCTGCAGACTCCCTGTGTTGAGGCTAAGGGGAGGGTAACTCCCACACTGAAAAGCCAGCACAAATTTAATTGAGATTGTTCCCCACTGGAAGAAGCAGAGCACTTGTCTCCCTGAGGGGGAGAGTTTTAAACCCATTTTGTATAGGAATCATAGTCAGTGTAATAGGAATTGCACTTCTGGTAAGAAATCACAAAGAGATGAAACTCTGGACTAATGTAATACCATTCATCTTAAAATACTGCTATTCTTCTTTCAAAGGAAAAACAGGGAGGACATTTTCCTTATAAATTCACTCTTGCTGAAAACCTACTTTCATTGGGAAGATCTGACAGAAAACATGAACACTTCTAATTACAGTTTTTGGAAGTGATCTCAAATCAGGACAAACAAGCAGTGTCCAGGCAAGCAAAGCTTCACATCTCAGTTTATATGACTGGCATTGCTCCCTTTGCTGCCTGCGTAGACTGAACCAGTCCAGCCCTTCAGAGCCCTTCCTCTGGTGACTAATTTTTGTCTGCAGTGCCTGTCCTTCATCCAGCCTCAGTGATCACCCCCATGCAGGGACAAAACAGGCTGATTTTGAAAATACATGGGCATCCTTTGTCTTAACTTGTTCTCTCCAAAACCATAGTTGAACTCATACAGCTGAGACACAGTGTTCTCTCTGTCCCTGCCACAGCAGTGCAGTGGGACTGCTCCAGCTCTGCAGCCTAGCAAACGTGCTGGGAAAAGTTTAAGTGTCAGAAAAATCCAAGAGCTCAGGCTTTGGCTCCTGAGAGGAGGCAACATCTCAGACCTTCTCTTTAATAAAATTTAAGATAAATCACTACATGCTCTCTCTCAACATCTCATCTCAGCACTGTCAGGGATGCAGGAGCATCAGTGAGGTGGGAGACACTGGTGAATTCCACATCAATGCTCTACCATATCCCTGTGGCATCTAGGACAGCACAAGCTCTGCTGATTTCATTCAATTCTCCCTAGGAAACCTCCATCCTTACAATCCCCAGCATCTTAATTCATGTCAGTGATACCTAATAAATACACTCCCCTATAATGTGTGGCTTTCTTCTTTAAGAATTAGATTGAATTTAAAACCAAAAAGGTTTCTCTGTTAAAAAGGCAACAAAAGAGCCTATCCATTATTTTCCATAGATCTACCCAGGCATTCCATTGTTCTCCCATTAGTTCAAACCTTGAAACACATCTACTTAAAATGCATCCTGAGACAGAAAGGAAACGTGGGCTATTTTTCAGAAGCAGACCTTTCCATGCATCTCCTCCCACCCCTTGAGCCTGATCCCATCCCAGCTCTGAAACTGGGTCTGAAGAAACTCACCCACTGGGATAGTTCTGCCCTGGATTTTATCAGCCCATCCAGCGTAATATCGGAGTGTTTTTATACAACCTTCCAGGTCAATGAAATAAGCCTGCAGAAAAGGTTTTCCTGTGTCCATTGTTTCCAGGGTCTGAAACAAACAAATTGCATCAATGCTAAAGTGGGTTTTCTTAAAATAAAAAGCAGTTTTAGAGGAACTCCTCAATTTTATTTTGCCTTGTGCTGCAGACATGGGGTTTCTTTCCTTCTGCTTAGATTTGTTAATACAAGTAAGGTAGAAGGGAGACTAGACCAAATAACCCTGCTGCATGCATGAGTAACTTGCCTTGTGCTCTCATTGCAATCACTGAACATCATCCAGAAGCCCCCAGAAGGTGGCTGTGGATGGGATCCAGGGCTGTGATCTGGGGCACTGGTCAGCAATGATGTGTCATGACTTCACTCTAACTGACCCTCCAATGCAGATGTTCTGCATTCCAGATGGTGTCACTCAAATCAGACAGATCCACTTTTTATTTGAAAATCTATTTTTTTCTCCTTGACAGCCCTAAACCCAACCTCTGAAAAGCCTCTTTTGTTCACAGGATGATAGAAAACACCTTTTTTGGTTTGTTTCTTTTTTAAAAAAACCCCAGAGTTCTGGTAAAGCAACCTTTGGGCTCAGGATCATTCTGAGACTAAGGCAAGGCAGGAGTCACTTCACTGAAGCTGCACTGATGCTGAGCAGCTCTAACTGAAGTCCGGTCTGGGCCTGTGTCCTTCTCACTGTTCTGGATATTAGCTCAGTGAATGCTTTGTTCTCTACGCAGGTCATTAAATTGGGATATTGGTGCAAATGGCCAGCACATCCATAAAGGAAGTACTATCCCTTGTGGTAGATTGAAACATCTTTGTTTACATATGAAGTCATACCCTGTCATCTTCCACAGATATTAGGGTCCAAACAGACATTCCCCTTGGAATGACCAGGATTGTTATCCACTCTGGATGTCTGCTAAACTGACTGATTTTTATAAGTCATTACTTAGCATGCAGCCAAGGCAGCTAGGGCTGGTTTTCTGCAGTAAAAACAACAATGCCAAACGAGCCCTCCCAGATCAGAAGGACAGCAGAGAGCTTGAAATGAGTGTCCTGGTTATGGAAAAAGGAGGGTCCTCTGGAGTCACATCAAAAAGTGAGCAGAAAATGAACAGGGCATATTCACACACACTTTTTTTCCTCCCCTTTTATTTGCTGGCCAGAACTGCCTTCAGACCTGGATGCTTTGGTTTTATCCTGCTGAAACTGAAAGCTTTCATGTGGTTAAGAGACATTGTGTTGGGAAAACAGACACAGCTCTGAACAGTCACGCAAGTACGGACTCCTAAGAACTTCCCATGTATATTAAGTCCTACTGACCTCAGTGGGACACTGGCTCAGGCACATACAGATCTAACAGCACTGAATGTCACAAATGCCATTCCCCTGAAGATAAGCAGAGCCAAAGTGCAGCACTGAACTAGTCACTGCTCAGGTCCATGATCTTAGGTATGGACAGACAGCAGCTCTAAGCTGAGAGATGTTAAGATCTGTGGGTGTGATATGGAAAGATGTAAAAGGCCTGTGGAGTCTAAAGGCTTATACCAACCGCAGTGCATTTTAGCTTGGGTCCTGCTCCCTTTGTTCTGCACCAGAAGGACTCCTTCAGGATGGGATGAGGAATCATTAGCCACAGTTCTTCAGTGCACATCCAAACTGAAACAGCTTCAGGGCTATAATGCTATTTTCCTGAGCCAGTACATTTAGCAGGGAAAGAAACAGTTCCCACTTATACACATTTTAAACTTTGGATGACATCCAGCAAGAGTCTCTTTCCAGCCCCCCATTTTAGGGGAAGCAATTTGCACAGGAGCCAAACTGGCCTTGTATTTTTGTAATGAAGAAGGACCAGGTCATTTGTGGTGGTTTGGGGTTTTTTGTTTGGTTTGGGTTTGTTTGTTGGTTGTTCTGTTTGGGTTGGTTTGTTTTTAAGATAAGAGCTGGGAGACAGCTATGAACATTGATGCCTTAAACTGAAAAAGAATACGTTTATTGCTTTGAAAAATTAGTATCTGTAATCACTTCCATAACTAGCTAAAGTTTTAGAGAAGCCAACTATATAGACAAACTAGCAACCTTCTTCCAAGAGCCCTAAAATCATCCTGCAGAAAGAAGAAGGTAAGCCATGTCTCCTGCATGGACTCTTCTACCCTTCATGAAGGGAGAGAAAAGAAAAACATTAGGTAGCTATGGATGCAGCAATATCAGAGGGCTGGAGCTGAATTCCAGCCAACTGTTGCTGGTTTATCACTGCTCACAGTACTTACTGCCAGGATGACTCTGTCCCGCTCAAGAAGATCAGCCAGCTTGTGCAGGAGTCGTCCTCTGCTTAGGGCATCCATCTGTCTCCATGGAGAACCCCTCTGGAATGCTGCCTTTGCTGCTTCCACTGCATTATCCACATCAGGCTAGAGCAGCCACACACACAAGAAAACGTTAAGTTACAAGGAAGGAGCTGGACAATGGCAGAGAAACCCTATCAGGCTGCTTCCTAGATGATGTGGTGGGTAATACCAAGTTGTCTGACAAAACCACTTCCATTTTACTCTTGGATTTGAACCCAAGCCTGCAATATATTTTGGGCTTGGCCTGGACTCATAAACAACCTTGAGGTCAAAGTACCAATAGGGTCTTTCAAAGGGAATTTTATGCAACTGGTGTGTTTATAAACTAACCCAAATTCATATTTCTGCTGATACAGGATATAAGTGACACTGGGGAAGGATGGAGAAACAAGAACATAGAATCATTTAAGTTGGAAAAGACCTTTATGCGCATCAAGTCCAACCATTAACCCAGCACTGCCAAATCCACCACTAAACCATGTCCCATCATTCCACTCCACTGGAACTCATGCCAGTAACAGTTAACACAGTAAAGTTCCCTTAGATCCTAGATCACACTTCCAGAACATTTCACCAGATGAGAAGGGTCTTACTGTTCAATGCTTCGACAAAGGCATTTCACCTACAAAGACTTCGTGCCACTCTCCCTTCCCCTGACATCCCCAGGGAAGCTTCATGCATTTGCTCTGGCCACAGCATGCCCTGGACTCCTCCCTTCTCCCTACATACACTGATTAAAAGTGAAGCCAAGGGCAATGTCCTGACCCAGTGAAATCAATGGGAACACTGCCATCAACATCCACAACCCAAAGCATACATAAAGCATGCCTCACCCTGGCTTTGGACAGAGTCCTGCTCTATGTAATGTCTGGCACAGCCCTCACCCCACTTTGCTGATGGAGAACTTGCACCTCACCACAATATGTGGCTCAAGGGGGTAGGAAAGGAGGGAGGGTTTCAGGCTTTTGTCATTCCTCATAGCATTTCTCCAGTTGTTCTCATTTATGTCTTATCTCAAGTCTCATTTGGATACAATTATGAAGTAAGCCTCTGCACTGATCCAACAGGGTCTGGCCATTCTCTCCTCATGGGGAAGTGTGTGGTGCTCAACCAAGAGAAAAATGTTATGGGGATACATGTTGCCTTCTTACAGCAAAAGTTCATGGACAAAACAGCAAGTTGTCACCCAAACTTACACTAAGTTTGGCTCCTTTTCTTTGCAAGAACATTACACAGCTTTGAAATAGTCTGACTTATACTGCTGGGAAAATAAATCCACCCCTTGGAAGGGCACTGATGGGGAAACCATTGTAGGAGACTTGTGCCCATATAGGGGGTTCAGAATGGCTCTGGTCAAGCCAAGGGTGCTGGCAAGCAAGTTGTCACCCAAACTTACACTAAGTTTGGCTCCTTTTCTTTGCAAGAACATTACACAGCTTTGAAATAGTCTGACTTATACTGCTGGGAAAATAAATCCACCCCTTGGAAGGGCACTGATGGGGAAACCATTGTAGGAGACTTGTGCCCATATAGGGGGTTCAGAATGGCTCTGGTCAAGCCAAGGGTGCTGGCAAGCAAACAGCCACTGCACAGGCAGGTCTCTACTGCCTGGGCCCCACCACCCACAGGCAGAATGAGCCTTCAGAGTGTTTCACTTCAGTTGAGTTGATCTGGATTCAAACTGGCACATCACAAAAGCCAGAAGGCACCACCAGCCACTGCACACTTACATACTCCCCATCCTGCCTGCTGGAATGAAGGCTGCAGCTGAAGGAGGGCAATATTTTAAGTGACAAAGCAGACAATGAAACACAAGAAGTGTGTCAGGTTTAAATTAGTCTTCCCTTAGCAGCAATTAATTAGCTTCTGTGACCAGGCTTGGAGCACTGATGTGGAAAGCATTGAGTCTGCACTGGCACAGGCCACAATACAACATGCCTTTGGTACTGAGGGTCCCACTACCCTGACACTCACAGAACACAGATGAGATGGCTTACGGGCAGAGAACTTCAGTGCATGCTCACATTTCCCCCATCCTCTAAACATGGGAGCACCCGAGCCCTGCTGTAGCTCCTGCAAATACTAGTTGGCTTCATTCTTGTCTCTTCTCAGACATAGTGGGTACACAGAGTGGCCTGGAGGCTGTAGTCATAATCACATAAGCAAAAAGGCTTTCTCAAATCACCCTCAGAAGCAGCACCACCAAGTGAGATCTTGCGAGTCTGCACAGCCTCAATAGGCCTGTGAGACCAGCAGAAACAAGGAAATTCTTCAGGAAGGCTGAAATACCATTCTTAATCCATCCTGTTATGACTAGGCGTTAGGGGAGCCCGAATGGCATGTTCATTGCAGGCATGTTGCAATAGGTAGGCACAAGGCGTGACAGACTCATAACTGTCAAGGTGCCAGGGACACGCTGTGCATCCCGGTGCTCAGTTCTGATCTACACAGCTTTACTGAGCATTACATAAAAAAACCCACTAAGAGAATATTAAGATTACAAAGTCAAACACTGCAGCCTTGGGAAATGCCTGCAAACCTTCATACCCACCTTGCACGTTTGCAGTACGATACAACCCCCAGTTACACAACCATGTACTATTTCCCCCTTGAACAAACTCACACTGTTCTTTGTTCTAATCCACCTCCTTCACCTTCCTCCTCTACATCAAGTCCTGCTCATCGCTGCTCCATTTCTATCCTGCTTCATCCTCTCTCCTGCCTCAGCAGCACAGTGGAGACCATCATCTCGCTCTCTGAGCAGGAAAAACGCCTGCAGAAAAGCCTTGCTCTGCTTCATGCTCAGCGTGCACAACACTGCTTCCATTTGTCCAGTAATGAGAATGCCAGGGATGAGCACAGCCAGTAGAGACCATCTGTCATCAGTTCAATTACTAACTTCTTTGAAAAGCCTCCAAATGCACATCTTTGGAAAGGCACTTTCCCAACATAGGGCATTAGCATGCCACAGTTTCTCAATTAGAAGAGGTTCTCTGACCTGCTCTGCTGCAAACACTCTACACATTGCATTGCTGTAACTTTTGAGCCCAAGTTCAAAACAGCTACAAACAGCATCTTAACAGCCCAAAGCGTCCAAAAACATTGGGGGCACTACGAGTAGGTATAGGGAATAATACTGATGCAGCCTCTTACCTCAGCCTGTCTTCAAGTGCCAGGGAAACAACAATGACACGAGTATTTCTGCCTTCACATGGCAACAGCAAGACAGGGTGGCAGTTCTGGGCAAACACTTGGACACAAAGCTGTTATTTGGGAGGCAAAACGTCTCCAAGCATCCAGTCAAAGAACGGGTCATTTTATTTTCAGTGTTTCTTTCTCCTTTATCGCCCAACTATCCCATCAAGGGCAATCCTATCTTCAATTCTATAACTAAAGAACAAACAAATCCTTTGCTCGTAGCCTCATAAAGCACTGGCCAAGTTTCAGCACCAGACTAAATTGTCATTGCTTGAGGTATCAGTTGCCAGATTCTCACCCCTCACGTGCAGCCTAAGCAAAACACACTCTGCAAAGCCACGGAGGGGCAGGTTTCTGTTCAGGGGTAAGAAGTGGAGTCCTGCTCTGAAAGCAGAGCCAAAGCCAGTACCAGGAACTGCCACTCCTATGGTGGTACTGACCAGCACAACCAAGTATGGTGGCACATGGGGACAAGACACTGGAAAGCACCAAACAACTCACCACTTCCTGTAGTTAACTCCAATAGACTGGAGAACTAGATGATCTTAAGGTCCTTTCCAGCCCTAACTATTCTATGATTCTAAGTGTGATGTAAAGAGGTAGAAAGAAGAGATTTTCAGCACCCAAGGCGCAACTAACTTACATTCTTGCCTGCCATTACTCTATGCACCAAGGAGTCAGCCACGATGCTGAGTATCCACAGGCAGAGGGCTCCACTGACTGGCCCCAAGGAAAGGTTTACACCTCTGCAAGCTAGAAGCTGAAAGTTATCCTTGGATTCAGGCAGGGACAAGTCTCAAGGAGACAAGCAGCAAAACTGGCCTTTTAGTTCTGCATAACAATTTTTGTTAACCAAGTCATGAAGAGGCAGGCTTGAAATACTCATGTAATGCTCTATAACTGCTTGAGGACACACTTAGCTCAGGGAACAACAACATCATGGTTCCTGCCTAACAAAACACAGTTGCATCAGAATTTGCTTCAGCTCCACTGTTTACATGCCACTGCAATTAAACACAGTTGTGTCCTACCCAGCTAGTATAAAGCAATTACACATAATGTTTGGTTATGCCTCAACATGTAATTGCCCCATGGATGCACAGACCCTCTATGGCAATCAGAGGCTGCTTTAGTGCCACCCAAAAGAACAGCTACCTTAAAGAGTATTTGGGCGCAGGCTGGAGACTTGTATTGCCAAGCAAGTTTGCTCCCATCTTCAGAAGGGTCAGGCTCTATACTCTACACAGTGTAACACATTAAACACATTGCCCCTCCACAACTGGTACCAGTCCTACTAAGAAAAGATCCCCAAGGCAGCTACCTGGCTGGAAACCAGGCATTGGGCCTCACAAGTGATGGGCAAGCTTAGGTACCAAGAAAAAGATACCCAAGTGCAGGCAGAACTGCCCACACTGCCCATCACTTACTGTCCAACAGCAATAAGCAGCCCAAGCCCTGGTACAGCAGAAAAGCTGTGATTCATCTCCCCATGACTGCAAAACGCCAGCTCTTTCCCATAGATCAGGCCAGTTGGCCCATACATGATGAGCTGTTTTGGACAAAAAGTGTCACATCTGATCATTCCTCACCTCAGACTATTACCAAACCCAAGCAGTTATGTCCCAGGCTAATCTACAGCACACCAGGGACTACTAAAACTCTTGAGAGATACTGGTTTGCTTTTAACTGAGTTGCCACATTTGTACAGGAGGCCAGAACCCATGACGCCAGTTGGAAAAGCAGCACTACATCTCTAGTAGGAAGTGGGCAGTGTTTGCATGACTGAGCTTAAGTTCTCTCAAGTACTCATATTTGTTGATGGTGTTTAAAAAAGGGTAAGTTTCATCCAGTGTCTCCAACAGAATGCCATGCAGCTTGTGTATAACCACTCCCAGCTCAAAGCCCAACTTGTGTCAGGGATGTGCATACACTATCACTGCTATTTCCTCAGACTGGTTGCTTCCTTCCAGGATATAAAACAAGAACAATGCTGAACCTCATCCCTCTGACAGTGCTCAGCAGGCAGTTCCTACCAGGGATAGTGACTCTGCCAAGTCAGACAGGATTGATCCCACCCAGTGTAATTCTTGAGCAGCACATCTAGTGTCCCAGACCTCCAGGTTACAGCCTGGCCAGATGTATGTTGTCATTAGAAGCCACCTTTTCCTCTGTGTGCTTCCCTACAAAAGGAAGTCCCTTGGAACTTGTGTTTTGCACTTACCTTGTCTCCTTCCTCTACATCACAAATCTTCTCCAGTGTTGAAGGGCTGTAGGTGGGGAATTTCTTTCCACTTGTAGACTCGTGCCATTCGTTGTTAATAAATATCTGAAAAGAGAGCAAGGGGAGAGGGATGGGGAAGAGAAAGGGAAAAAGTTATGCAGATAATGCAAATAGATCACAAGTACTCCTCAAAGGTCCCAAGGCTCTTCAGTTTCCATTGATGGCAGGGTCAAGGATGTTCAGTCTCTCTCCCAGGGAGACTACGATACAGGCAGCTTTTATCCAAACTAGAACCTGAGGTAGAAAAAGTCTTCATGCATCCAGTTAGTTTTGAGCAAGAGGAGGACAGAGGATGGGGCCCACACAGTGTAACACCATAATTTGGCAATGAGAAACAGACAGTTTTTGAAATGCATCTCCATGGGAACAGCAAACAGACACCAAGAGAAACTCGTATGGTTCAGGCAAAAGGAGCCCCTTGTTACATGCTACAATTGAAATGTCAGCGTACAATATTACTTGGTTGTTTGTGTCCTGCCCTGGGCTACTTCCACAACTTGCCCCCTCCCAGCACTGTCCAGAGAAGGGGAAGTACTGGCTTGGTTCTACCCCACCGTGCCTTGTCACAGGCTAGATGGAGCCTCCCACATCACTTGGAGTCATCTGTGACAAGATTTAAGTGTTTCAAAATATTGTATTTCTAGAGCAAGAACAAACAGTCCCGGCGTTGCGTAACTGAAAATGCATTAAATACTGGAGTGTTGTTACTCACTGTAAACAGAACATGAATACCTATAGACAATTAATTGATTCAACATGCATCTTATCCATGCTCTGATCTAACTTGGCAGTGTTATATTTTAAATATACTTTAAATAAGATTAGATGAAGTAATCTTTATTAGTAGCCTGTTAGCGGCTGTAAGCAAGTACTTCTACTTGGAAGTCATCCACATTCACAATCTTGTTTATGAGTCTCTACACACCACCAGGAGATTAATGTTGCATCCCTTACATTCGGAATTCCCACTGCCTTGGGTCATGGTTTTCTTTCCTTGGGCAGCTTTTTTTTTTTTTTCCTGAAAAGAGTTTCTCGTTACTCTTTCTGCAAAAAGCATCTGAGATTCTGTTGTGGAGAAGCTGCACTTTTGGAGCCACCTGTTTCAGACAGGCCGAGAAAAAGCAATTTCGCCGAAGAATGTTGCCAAGTGAAGTCACAAGAAAAGATACAGTGCTAGAAATATTAACTGGCTTGACACCAACGCTCCCAAACTACCTCTGTTTCCAAGTCCTGCATCTTAATATTTACATATTTTAATCTCAATTGTCCTTTGTTTCACTAATGAAGAAAGTCACATTATAGATGAGATATGAGGAACTAAAGTTACAGCATCAGGTATATGCTCACAAACCAGGGATTGGGAAGGACATCAGTTTTCCTCCACATTCAGCATTAATTCTATGTGAGAGGGTTGGGATGGGAAAGCGATGTTCCTATGAGAAGCAGTAAAACACAAGACTGACAGGATCAGGCTGTTTTAAATGTAACATATACATTGGCATCATTCTGGGAATCACACCACATAACCCAAGTCTCTAGTGCCAGGAGTTAGTGCAGAACAGCGTATCAGCCGTTCATGCTTCATACCCAGGATTTGAGACAGGGAATTGTGGACAGATCACTTCCATCACACATCCATGACAAGCATTAAGCTGCTCTATAAGTAAGATCTTTGTTGAAAACTTTTGCTATCCCCCAGCCCCGTAACTGGTAGAACCAGGAATAAACCCCTCTGCTAAGCAGGGGAGAGCGTGCCGTCAGCTGTACACATCTGGTGAAGCTCAGGGCTTTTAGAAAACCCCTCGCAGTTTTATGAACACTGACTGCTGCTCATTATTTTCTCAGATGCACTGGGAGCATCAGATCAAGTGTCAAATTCACACTTTTAATTAACATTGGTTTCCACTTTTAAGAGACTACCTTGATACCTCTAGTGCACAGAGTCTTCAGTAAAACTCTGGAGAATAAAAAACTCATGTGTTTTAAAACATACATGGCTGCAGGATTAGATCCCTAAGGAGTATTTAGAAGTGTTCACAACAATAAAAATAACAAAAAACAGAACATTTGGATGTTTAAGAACAACTTTAATGGCTGTGTCCATTTTGGATGCAGGAAAGAGCTGTTTGTGCAGCATTACACCATTCCGCAATCAGCAGCTGCAGATCCAATTTGCTATTAAATGACAAGTTTATCTTACAGAGAAATAAAGTCAATAAATTTGGAATGTTAACAATTAATCTAGTCCGGTGATTACCACTAACTGCTAATCTGTTCAGCACTTCAGATTGCACAATTCAAATCAACACCTCGCTGGATAAGCTATCACTGTTTACTGCTTCTCACTGCAAGAGAATGAACTTCACGTCCTGCCTTTTATTTTTAATACAGAAACGTAACAGCCATTAATACACTCATGCAGCCCCTCCAGCTCTTTTAGTCCAGGAACATCATTCAGGTCATGGCAGTCAAGGCTCCCCAGCAGCATAACCAGCTGGGATGTTTTCCCCACTGCACAAGGCAGCAGGTCAGGCTGTTGGGGAACAAAAAGGCGACTCTGCTATCGCAGAGCTACACTAGTTGGGAAGCCAGGATTTCAGCAGCGGTGCTCAGCTCCACACCAATGCCAGCCTCACCTCTGGAGGACAAAGTGACCACACTCAGGAGCCTTTGGTTAAACCTGGAAGGTCAGGAATGACTGAAAGGAAGCTCAGTGGAAATGGAGAGGTGCGGGTTTGTGCTGCCTGACTCCTCATCCCATCGGGAAGCCATGGAGGAGCTCTGTTGGGATGGCGAGCCACCAACAATACATGTATTAACACCACTCCAGGGCAGCTCCAGTCCCATCACGGAGCCCTTCCACAAGGGCCAGTCCTGTAGGACACTGTCTCTCCTCTACACTCCTGCATTCACCAGGACCCAAACCCACCCTGGCACTGACCCCGCACCCAGCGGACCCCATCCCACCACATGGGAGCTCCACTCCAGGTCAAGGACAGCAGAACACATCCCAGACAAGCAGCTTCCTCATGGATAAACCCCTTCTCACCTCCGCCCGGGCTCACCCCATCCAAATCCGATTTCACTGAGCGCCAGCGTGATGCTAAAAGCATTGACCAGGTGGGTCTGCGAGCACCGCGCTTGGG